CTGCTGACCTTGAAGTTTTAGCACATCTAAATGGATCACTATCCCACATCAGCACTCCAACTGTATTTTTGTGGAAACCCATGTTTTGCAACAGTGATTTTGCTTTCCAAGAGATCTTCCAAGTGCGTATCCCACCATCCTTGCTTTTCCCAGAAAACAGAATGAGCTTCCTAAAAAGTTCAGAATAAATTTACTTGAATTTTACCACTCATTAGGGGAAGTCTTACAAGATCTATTGTTCCAAACACAAGAGCAATTAGAAGTTCTTTTATGTAAGACATTACTAGTAGAAACTTGTCCAAATGCCATCAGCATATTATTCTGATGTGCTGTATTTGAACTTGTGCATATTATCTTACCTCAAGTTTCCATTTAGTCATTTTGAGGGTAAAGGAAATACTATTCAAAGCAAAAGCATTCCAGCAGTAAAAACACAAGTCCATTACACAGCACGCACATCATTCACCACATTTCACATCAAATGTGGGTTTATAATTCCAGTTGGAAATTGTGCTCTTAACATCTGCCATCTGAGGTCAGCAGAAAGCTTAAATGGAATTAAATTTTATTCTTTTACATGGTTGATTTATTCAATATTTTCCCAAACAATTTCCCTCCTTTCCAGTGGGCTAAAACAGGCACAACCAGCCAGCACTACTCTGCTGTAAGGAATGACTGAAACCATCTTCTCAAATGTCATCTTACTAACTTTATCCAAGTCCCAGCTATTAAGAAAAGAATGTGCCTGCTCTCAAGAAATATCTGTAAAGCAATAAAGTAAAATCCAAACCACAAGTTATGGTTCAATTGTTACTGCTGTGCAGTTTGTAAGATCTGCATCTCATTCTCTCTGCCACCGTTACCTACCATCAGAAAGGCTAGAACTAAGTTACTGCAAATGAATTGAACTCTAGAAAACGGAGAAGGTCATGAAATTCAAGAGGTAAGATAGCTCAGAAGTGTTTACATTTGTACTCTTCTTTGGCAGTTTGTACTTTATATCGGCTCACTACAGTGATAACGGGAAAGGCCTGTATCACCGGAAACTGGGAGGAATTGGAAATGTTTGGACTTGGCTTGCAATACCAGAAACCACCACTGCTGGGAATCCAACAACTGTCAGATACTCTTAATCTCAAAAATTACAGATCTCCAGCAGTCTGGTTGCAAATACTAGTCTCCAGGATGTCTGGATGAAAGGATCATTTCTTTTATCATTTTCTGAAGGAATGTAGAGAAGATTCACCCACTGGACTTGTTTCAGTGATACCTACCAGAGACTTCTTTAAATAAAAAATAAAAAAAAGTATCTATCTCTTTTCTTCAGACTCTTGTCTGGAGAGACGAGAGAACAACCCAGAATGGAAACGACAGTTCTGCTGATGCAGGCTCTGCAGAAAATACAGCCAATTTTCAGCAGAAACCTCATGTGCTGCAAAACACGTACCCTACCAAACGCTCTACAGAGGCAATGAAGTTGGAGGGTAGTGTCTGAAAAAGCATGGTATTAGGCAACAATTCTTGCTATTAAGGTTCCCAAGCTGTCAAACTTGGAAACTGTTCTGGCCACTCAGGAAGTGCAAAAGCTGAAAAGAAATTCTCCTCTTACTCTGCATTGCAGAAACAAAGAGCCAGCCTAAACTTGCCAACACAAGAATGCTGTGGCAGGACCACATTACTACAGGCACCATTGCTGCATTCCTCAGGAAGATATGTTTCTACGGTACCATATGCTAGATTGTTTTATCCAGATCTAAAACTCAGCCCTTAAAAACATATTCCTCCTTGGCTATCTCGTTACCTTAATCCTAAAAAGCCTAAGTACCTTTTACAAGGTAGGCACAAGGGAAAGAAGAATGTGCACTAACTAGAAGCCGGGACCAAAGCCTGTTGACATCAAAAAGGATGCTACAGAGTTTGGAGGGTTTGGATCAGACCCTAAAGCAGTTCACAACTTCAATGGAGGCAGAACAAAAGAATAAACCAGTCTTGACTTTGAACCACTTGGAGTTGATTCTGAACTTGGGAAGCCAAGATATTATCCCCCCTCAAGCAAAAATAAATTTATTTCAGAAGACAGCACTAAGTGTAATTTTCACTGGTCACCTTTATTCTTGCTCAGTTGTTCATCACCAGAAAATATCTCCAGTTGTATTTAGTGTTTTTCTGCAACCTTTACAGCTTTTGGAGCACTGAAGATGAATATACCCTGACAGGAAGAAGGCAGCAGCAGTGGTAAATTGCAATTTTGTGCTGAGAAGGCAGCAGGTGGTAAGACACCAGAGAAAAGGAAGATTAGTGAAGAACAAGTATCAGAAGTTTCCTTTGTTTTAAAGACTATATAGTGGTACTGGATCTATAAATACATACCTGTTCCCCTAAATTCTCATTTGGAAAGGTAGATCTCTACAGTCACATGTGTTTCTCACCAATTCTCATACAGAATGGCAGCTTTATTGCTACTTTAGCCTTTTTGCAAAAATGTCAAGGCACATAAAGAATGTAGGAAACCCCTTTGGTGAGTAAACACAACAATCACATCTGAAACTGAGCCCCAACAGCATGTTAATAAAGATACACTAACATGGCACAAAGTAACTTGAGGATGACAAAGCCCAGAGAAACCACCTTACTTGCGGAAGTTCACTAGTGATTTCAACAACCAAATAGTGCAACATCTCTTCAGAAAATGGAGATGTTACAAGTGGCACAAAGAAAAGGTTACTTCACATCATGTTGCTGCAGAGGAGACACCAAAACTTTCTATCAACAGCAGATGAAAAAGAGTTTTCCCCTTTTTCAAAAGAGAGAAGCAGCTCAGATGTGTCCATGACAATACTGACTGCTCAAGTCACCTCTTCAATCAGAACTCCCCTCCCTGAGCTACATTTGTGCCATGCCCCTCGTTAAAGCAATTTAATCTCTCAAAGTTAGTGTTTCCTAAGGGAAAGTGGGGGAATGACACTGCCTGCACCATAGCTCGATGTTTATGTGGCACGCTATTTTAGTACAATGAATTAAGAGCAGTCCGGAACACAGCGAACCAGTGACAAGCTGGCATGGATTTGTGGAAAGTTACACAAATTCAGTTACACAAGTTTTGCCTGGCCTTAACTATCCCCATTTTATAAATAGATAAAGTGAGACGGGTTAGGCAATTTGCCCAGGATCAATTAGCAAGTCCCGAGTGACTTTGTCACATCTCAATCTACTTCAACTGCTTGGCAGCGCAGCCTGCCCAGGGCACGGCAGGCACACTGAGCACCTCGGAGTACGCATTCATCACCCTGACCAGTTTTAAAACCTGAAGGCACCATGTTATTGTCCATACAACAGCAAAATCCCACACGTGGAGGGACATGCACCTTTCAGCCTTCAGAAGGTGCTTGTGCTTCATCATGTTCGATCATTGAGAGGTGGGTGACAGCATTAATCTCAGTAGATAGAAACAGAGGGTAAATAAACAAAACACATTTAGTCTGTTTCAGTAGGATGCCAATATTGGAGCATGGTTTGTATTCAAGCCATTCTTGTGCACCCTGATAGAGTTTCCCCTCAACCTCTCCAATCCCTTCCCAGTCTATCAAGACTCGCTTCATTTCACAATATTTTATAGGGCCAGCACAGTTAAATAACCCGAATATTAAGCCTTGCTTACTGTGAGATGTCTCCTAGTTTATGCAGCAATATTGCTGCTGTTGCAGTTTATGTTGATAAAGAAGGTTTTTACCTGTGCAGCTTTTAGACTCCAGAGAACCAATAAACGCCAGGGCAAAGAGGTTTCATGCTCTGATTTAAAAAAAATAAAATAATAAAACAACAATTGCCATGGAGAGGCTGGAACACAAAAGAACACAGCTATCTCAATTTACATTGCAACCACTGTTAGCAGACCCAGAACAATGGTATATGGGAAAGAGCCCTGCCCTCTTCAGAAGATAGATTAATTCAATGTGCAGGAAAAGACTTCAAACTGAGAAAGCAATACTTTCCAAGTTTTAACAGGCTCCCAAAACTTGGTGCCAAGCCACAGGCCCAATCCAGTGCCCATGGGGGTACAAATGTCAAGATAGAAGCAAACAGCCTGAGTTTAGGTCTCACTGGTCAGCTGGATCTGTTAAAAGCAATTTTATGCCTTGGTTCAGTGGATGCACATTTTGAAAGCAAAAGGAGCTACACAGTTAAAAATAGAGCCCTGAGTAAAAATACCACGTCCTAAGACCTGGGGAGGAGTTTAAAGCTGGGCTTTGTGCAGGCCATTAGAGGCATTTTTAGAATTCCTACTTCCAGCAAATGCCTCCAAGCTCACAGATTTCTCGTTCATTGCTTCACCTGCACCCACCTCAGCTCACAGGGCTCCCGCAGCAGCTTTTACATCCGACACACAGCAAGCAACTTGGAATTAACAAACACAACCTGAGAAGCATCAGACACACCATCAGGTTGCTTTTTCTGTTCAGCCTTAACTGAACTGCAGAGCCCAAATTAACAAAAGAGGCTTTAGTTTTCACAGGTTAGAACAGTGCAATCCTGCAGCAAAATTACTGCCATGAATTCGACACACTGAAAGTTTCCCAGGTACTTAAATCATTGACACATCATAGAATCCTAAAACAGTTTGGGTTGGAAAGGAGCTTCAAAGACCATCTGGTTCAACCCCCCTGCAATGAGCAGGGACATCTCCAACTAGATCAGGTTGCCCAGAGCCACATCCAGCCTGGCCTTGAATGTCTCCAGAAATGGGGCATCCGCCCCTTCTCTGGGCAACCTGTGCCAGTGTTTTACCACCCTCATTGTAAAGAATTTCTTCCTCACATCCAGCCTGAATCTCCCCTCTTTTAGCTTAAAACCATCACCCCTCATCCTGTCACAACAGGCCCTGATAAAAAGTCTCTCCCCATCCTTTTATAGGCCCTTTTTAAGAACTGAAAGGGTACTGTGGAGGTACAGGCACAGTCTGGCAGTGGTGTTTCCTCCAACCCAGGGTTGAGTACTTTTTTCTAAACCTTTAAAGAAGCTTTGAAGGTATTTTCCCCCCCTCAAAGGTTTTTCAGTTTGAGACTTAAATTCCTTACATTTACATGTAAGATTTACATTTCTTCTGAAACAAGAAACATTGTGCCCAGCAATGTTCCACACAGGAACACAAGGTTGCAAAGGCCAAACACTGGAATAAGATCTTCCTAACAGCTGTTCACAAGCAGTTTTTGATAGAGGGATGGCAAAAGGGAAAAGACTCATTATAAAAGCATTGAAGTCATTCTTTCCTGCTAGATAACCTGCATTTTTTAAGTACACCAAACTAGCTCCTTCAAAGCAGGTGGCCTCCTTCACTCTAACCCTCTGGCTTCATCACACAACTGGTCAATCTTTTTTTTCCTTGTGGTGCAACTTTCCAACTAAACTTACACACAATTGTTCCATGGGAATGCAGTGATGTCAACCAGCTGATAACTGAAGCACTCAACAATCAAAAGAATTATTCATAACACACATTAATATTATTGTCAAAGTCAAATGCTTTGATCTCACTGAAACAAAAAACTTGCTTTATTGAGACTGGTTTGCTTCCAGCATTCTTTCCTTCTCAAAAAATTCACGAGAAATTTTGCTATCCTGGGTCAGGAAAAAAGGAAGCTTAAGTGTCAGAAATTCCCACAGAAACAAAGTCTCATGTTATGACCAGGTCAGGTTCTTCTGTAGTATTCGGTCATCCATTTATTTTTGTTTCTTTCAAGTCATCAGCTGCCTTCACAGAAACCAAAGTGCTTCCTGCCACTGTGGTGAACGTGCTGACCTCGGTTGAGTTGAGCTGCTCTGCTGTGTCTCACGAACAGTTACAGCGTTAGGCCTTCTGCGTGTTCAAATGAAGTATTTGTACAGAAGAGGGAACTTTGCACATCTCAAGATGTTGCTTTCGCAGGATATACAGAGAGATTATTTCATCATTTAAACCTTGCACATATAAACCACTAGCAGACAGTTCAGTCCAGGGGAAAATGTACAAATCCCAGACAACATAAATCCTGTGAAATTTGTACAAGTTAAGACAAGTCAACCTTAAAACTACTTATCAACTAAGAATTATTCAGCAGAAATACATGAACAGGTACCTATTACTCATGAGCCTTAATAAAAAAATAGCAAAGCCCTGGCACCCTCATGGAACAGGAACACAAGCAGTTTTCTGCTAGGCTGGCAGAAACACTTGGAATAACAGTACATTGCTCTAATGCAACAGCTATTTGCAGCCTGTCCCACAACACCATCTAAAGTGTAGAATTACAAATCCAAAATGTAACAACTCAGCCCCAGTATGGAAAAAAAATGTAGGATTTCACTATATAAACTTCACTCCTTGGATCATTTTAGAAGCCACTCCCTACCTTCCGTCAGCTACAGAATGAATTACTTACACCTCATCAGAAATGTAACAGTAGGCATTAAGAGCACTGGGAGACTTCAAAGAGAAAACAAAGCAACTATGGATTTTAAACAGAAGTTTAAACAGAAATCCTGTATTTTAGGTGTTATGTCCTGTAAAAGGGCTTATTGCCTTCTGGGAAGGGAGAAGAGCTACCTATAAAAAACTGCCCTGCAATGTGCTCTGCCTCCTGGTAGAAAACCTACACCTTTGATTCCAAGATGCAAATCCAGGCATAGATACACTAAAGGAGCCTGTACCTTGCAGCACTACACAGTGCAACGTGTGCTTCTGCCAGACAGGACAGTCACTGCCACACACCTGCAAAGCCCAGCCCCCTGCCCTTCAGCACACCAGCTTCACCCACTGCTGTGCCTCCACTGGCAGGACAGGGCACTAAAAAGAGACCTTATCACAAAGAGATGAGTCTCTTTCCACTTAAATATGAGACTAAAAAAGTTAAACAAGCACAAGGATGTTTGCCAAGGTGGCAAGACCAGGTGTGAGCTCTGCTCTCCAACCAGAGGTGGCACAAGGACTGGAAAGGCACCACAAGGTTGATGGGACAAGCACAGTCCTGAGGCAAAGGACAGCTGGAGAGGAATGATGCTCAGGGTATGAAAACAGCATACTGGAAAGAAGAGGAAAACCAAGTCTCACGGGTTCTAAATGTACTGTCCAAAAAACTTGTCTTTCTATTAAGAAAGCCAACCATAATAATACTACTAATAATAATTCATGATTTTTGTGAACAAGAGTGAAGTCTGTAGGAACATGTACGAAATAAAAGACCAGAGGAGTAGTACTGGGAAAAAACAAACAAAACAAAACAAAAAAACCCAAACAAACAAACAAAAAAAAACAACAACCCCAACAAACCCAAAACCAACACAACACCCTTGCCACAGCATATAAGCCACCCACACCAAGGACTGTTTCCAACATACCTGTGTTGACACAGCTCGTGACCACAGTGACTTACAACAGACATCTCCAGGCACATCTGTATCAGCTAAAGCAACCGCCTTTTAACGGTCTTCTCTACCCTGGCTCTCAGTTTGCTCAACTGCTTCCCAGACCTTCAGTTCATCCCAGTCTAGGCTGGGTTAGTGCAAGTAATACACACTCTGACACTTGTTTCAACTGAAGCAGACCAGGGAGTATCCACATGAGCAGTTTGACCAGCAGATCTTTCATTAAGGCAAAGCTGCAAGTGACTTTTACCACCAGACATACCAATTTCCTTCTGATTAATCTATTCACTGTTCAGCCCACTCCTTTGAAAACAGTGTTAGACATGAATGATAAATCAGTCCGATCCCTGCAGTCCACTTCCAAGCCTATGAACTTGCCATTTTAAAAGCCTGACTAGCTTATGCCAAGAATTTTATCTAATCTATTGATTCTGAGAACTTAACAGTCAAAGGAGTTATTCATGCTGATTATCATTATTCCAAAGAATGGTGTCTTAAGATAAGAAAATGTAATAAACTCCGGGTTGTTTTTTGCTTGGTTGCTTTGTGGTTTATTGTTGGGGTTTTTTGGTGTTGTCAGTTTTCTTTTGTGTTTAAGAGCCATGGGGCTTCCCGAAGCTAACATTTTTATATAGGTTTCTTCTTGATCATTAAACCATCTTTTTGGACACACATTTATGTCTAAAATTTATTGAAAGCTACCAGAGGAATTACCTGCAATTTGCACTGAGCCATCTTCTCCAAGAAGAATATTTCCTGCTTTCACATCCCTGCAGAAAGATAAAGCAACAGTAAGTGGAAGTCATTAGATCTTTCCTTCAACAAACAAAATTATATTATAAGGTTATTATTGCTTAAATTTTGTTTCTTGCAGTAGCACCTCCTGCTTCCAAGCATGCTGAAACATGGGACTTAACACCAGAGTAACTTCAGTAGACACCAAGTGACATTTGAATGATTTATAGCTAGTGATGTTTTAAGTACTATGCACAGGGAAAAAAAAAAGAATTGAAAATTTATGAGAACGTACAAAAAACCCAAGGAAAGTGTTTTGACCCTGGTTCTTAACTTAGCTAAAAATATGAAAACAGAACCTAACACTGGTCTGATACACATGATTCTACCCTTTTAGAGGGGGAGATTTCAAGAGACAGTGAGTTGATCTTATCTCGCCACCTCTGAACACATCCTATACTTCCCTGAGTTTTGCTGCTCTCCGGCTTTAGAGTTCACACACTCCCTCAAGAAATCAGTTTAGCTCAATACACTAGTGAAAATCCAGACATTAGAAAAAACACTGGTTGTCCGTGGCTTAATAAACTGAACTAAGGGTCAGGCAAGCAGAGCTGGTACAACAGAGATGAGAATGGGGAAAGTGGGGCCACACAACTGTCCTGTGAAGCCTCAACTATAGTGAAAGTCTCCTTTATTTTTTTATTTTGACTAAAGACACACACAAACATGCAGCAGTTGCTATGAAAGTTACTGTATTATCCCCTTTCTACCCCCCAAGAAACATCTGCTTTGTTCAGTTAACAGCAGCACTTCTCCATCCTTGAGGGGAACATTACTGTCACTCCAAACACACTTTGAAGTTTTCCAGCTTATTTTCACAGGCTGCTTCCCCATGCAAAGCCAAGAGAAACACCTTTCTAGCTGACACCCACATTCATCAACATGGCTGCTAAGACTGCACTGGCCAGGAACCCATGCAGGGCCACAGCAGTTGCAGGAGGCATCTCGAGAAAGGCTGCAGGCAAAGCAGCTGCCCAGGGAACAGACACCAGTGCAGAGACAGTAATTGACAGCATGCCTCACCTTAATGGCAACCACCTCCATGGAAGGGGGGGGGGGGGGGCCAGAAAGGGGAGGATGAAAACATCCAAACAAGCAGATTCTCCCTCCACTGCCTTCAGCAAATATTCCAAATCCTTTCACACAAAGTAAAAAGTCAAAAAAGCTGTTTTTCTCTTCTCCCTTGTGCATCATGAGAATAGAACTGGCGCAATGGCCTGGCCAAAGAGCCCTGGTCAGGCCCTGGAAATCTTCTTCCTGGCTTTGCTCTTCTGAAGAAGAGACTGGGCCACTGCCAGTTCCAGGACAGGATAATTTTAAACACATCCTCTCCAGCATCAGCATTTGTTAGATTCTTCCCAACACCGAGTGTAGGACATGGGCATGGCAAGACCTTCTCCAGTATACAACAAAACAAAAAGTGAACAAAGACTGTCTGTATTACAGTCCCACTAAAGATCATTTTAACAGCAAACTACAGTTCACAGCAGCTCAGAGACTCCAAACAAGTGGCCATCTTGGAGCCTAATCCCTGTTTGAAGCACAATTGTAAGAGTATAGGAAAATACTAACTTGCTTTAATGATCAAGAACACTTAGATCCATATAGAAACAATGAAGCATAAAGATTCTATATGGAAACATATGATAGCCTTGAGAAGCTGACTGAATAGCAGAATGGGATTCAAAGCAGTAACCAAGACACTCTGACAGTGGTGCTGCAATAAGACAAACTTTAAACAAGTGCTGCCAGTCTTTTCCAGTCCTGCTCATTTTACATTAGCCACATACATTAAAGTGTGTTTAGGAGTGAGTGAGCTTTCCCTCTGAGAATCATTATTTTGTTTTCTTCCTGCAATTAACAACTGCAGCCCTTGAACAAGAAAGCATCAGCACTGCAGCGGATGGAGACTCTTATGTAAACGGAGGGACCTGAAGGGATTAAATACAGCATTAAGCATGTAGGTACACTACTCCTTCCATTAGCATCCATTGGCCAAATCCAATACAACTGAAGCTGTGGAGAGTTAAACACCATTAGAAATACAAACATGACTAACTCCTGCACTCCCACAAAGCATTCAAGGTCCCTAACAGGGAGGAAATGGAAAAGCTTCCTATCAGTATTTTTAGGCAGAAGATGCCTCTGGGATTCAGCCTCATGGGCAGTGTTCTCAGGGCTTCATGTGCTTAAGTCTGCTGCTGCTTAGGTAAGGAGCTGGCTCACATGGTGTGAAATGTGCTTGGCACAGACACAGCCACCTCCAGGAATCCCCCCTTGTACCAGTACTACTTCAGAGGGAACAGAGGGTGTTCAGGAAACTTTCCAATCCTTCTGGAAATGTTTATCCAGACAATCAGTTCTCCTGCGACAGCCAGGACACACAAGGCCCTTTCAAAGATGCCTGCCAGTTGCAGGTTACAGGAAAGGAATAGCATGCACCAAGGTTATTGTTCCTCTTACTGAAGACGGACGCAAGTAGCAGTAATTTCCTCTTCCATCTGTACTCCAAGGCAGCCCAGGATGCTGGAGTGATTCCCCATTAAGCTGGGCCATGCAGTATCATACACAGCCTTTCCAAGCTTCCTCTGCCAGCACGACAGTGTGTGTAGCTCAGCAAAACCCCCCAAAGCAGACCACACTCAGCAATGAAGGAAGTGCCAATGAGGTTTTTAAGCAGAACCAAGGATGAAGACTCAACCATTATGTGCTTCAGAGCCCACAAGAACTCAGGCAGGTTTCACTGATGTAGCAAGAACAGCCAGAAAGCAGCACATGTTCAGTACCACCAGACCATACTACCACAACAGACCAAGCTGTGACAGCTTGGAGTGCAAGCAGTAGTGAAACAAGCACTCAGATTGAATCCCATAGGGAAAAAGAGCCAAAGGACTCCAGTCCCTTAACTCTCTCCAAAACAGAATCTTGTTTTCTTTTTAACTTCAGCTTGGATTAATTAAAATTTACATATTTTCACACTGGAAACAAAAGTCAGTAAATATGGTGCTTCAGGCTGGTTCAAGAAATTAAACCAAGTTGTTGCTACAATAAGAAATTCAGGAGGCCAACACCACCCACTGCCAAATATCCAATTCAAGCTACAGAATTAAATCAACAGCTGATGTGGCATTTCCTCCTGGTGACCAACCCTCTGTAAAGGCCATTACTCACCCCAGAATGGTATACTCCACCCCAGAGCAGCAAAACAGATAGGCAGCAAACTGCTTGGGGACAACGACTCTGTTTTGGACTCACTGTACAATAGAGGCAACTTCCAGCTTTCCCATTCCTCATCCCAGTGTATTTGCATTGTGTCACCCACTGCAATAACACCAGGCAAATATCAAGCAGCAGTAACTCTGGGTGAATACAGATCATAGAATTGTAGGAAGGGTTGGAAAGGACCTTAAACCTCATCTAGTTCCAATCTGCCTGCAACAGGCAGGGACGCCTTCTACCAGATCAGGTTGCTCAAACCTGGCCTTGAACACAGATCCCTTCATTTAGCACATGCTGGTGTCACCAGCAGTATCTTCAAAGTAGGTCCTCCTTTAAAATCATCTTTCAGGTTAATTCACTGCATTTAAAGCAATGATTTGAGGGGAGCAAAGAATGGTGCTTTCCTGTTTATTCACAAGAGGTGATGCTTATAAACTCACAAGCTGAATGGCGAGAAATTTGTTACTCCAGGATACAGTTATTGCCAAGTATAACAATTCGAAGGTACTTCCTATTAATGTGGTAATGGCCATATCCTGAGCTGATACACTGAATAAACGGTGTGCCTCTGGCACAATTACTACACTGGAAACAGGAAGTAGCTTTAGGCTGTAGCATAAACAGTAATTATATCACATTTTAAATGAAGTTACAGAAGGCTGGAGTAAACCTTTTCTTGCCAGTAGCTTAACGAATGCTATCGTAGTTCCGGATATTCCTACTCCATAGCTGTCATCTTCCTCTCTTCTAAAGGCTCCAAGAGCCCTTCCGCAAAATAACGATTATGTTTTTATTTACCTTGTACTTCATAACCAGAGTGGTAGATTGGGGTTTGGACTCACTCCAGTGCAAAGCTAGATTCTCCACATCAGCCTTGACAGGTTTCATAGCAGGGCAGAAATCCCTCTTCATCTGCATTCCAAACTGGTTTAGCTTCCCAGTCGGATCAAATGCTAACCTACTAGTTATATCATGTTAATGCCTCCAGGTTAGGGCTGGGCCATAGGCATTAGATTATACATAACGAAAACTGGTCCCGGATCCAACAAATTGCAACCAAGCATCCAGCTACAGGAGACTCAGGAGCACAGGGAGTCAATGAGATGATGCTCCCCAGTTCTGATTGCAGCATTCCCACCCCCACCCCCCAATTAACTCTTCAGTAGAGTGGGAACTACAAGAACTGGATCCTAATGGCTTGTTCCCCCTATACAAAGCTTACACAAGTCCTTCAAATCCTGCTAAATGATCAGGTCTGCCCTCACCCGTAGCCCTCAATCCTTGGCACTGCCATACAGTGACTGTCATTGCACTACAGGAGAAAGCAAGACTTGCTAGTCCATAATGGAGAGCAATGTTATCAATAGCCAGCTACAATTCTGCAATCCTGGCATACACCATGAAGCTTATTACGGACTTAAAAGAACTGATGTTTGCAAGAAAAGCAATGAAGCATGTTAAGTTATTGCTTAAGTAAACCTCTTAATATTGTTTGGAAATCAAAAAGGATTCACTTTGCTTGCATTCAAAAGTCATTCGGAACAATAGCTAGGACAATTTAAGGCCACTATAACCACAATACAAGTGGCCTGAGCAAACAATGGCATCCCAAGACTTGTGTAACCTAGCACTGAGAAGAAAACTGTCACATGAAAGGGAAATTGGAGATAAGCCTTGTTTATTATGCTTTTGCTTCCAACCTGCTCTTATGTGCCTTTAGGATGTGATGCTGGCTGTCAGCACAGCCATGAGTCAT